TTAAATAAATATGTTATAATTTTATAGTAATAGAAATAAATAAACTTAATATGCATAAACAAAATAATAATAAATTTAAAAATAAAAATGTCCAGAAAATTATTTATTACACAATTAACCTAAGTCCAGTTATAAGTAGAATAAATTTAAAAAAATGATAGTAATAAGCAAAGTTAAAATTTATTTTTAATGAAACGTTGACAGACTAATGCTGTTTTTATGTCAAGTTATATGCAAAAAAAAAGCATATTTTTCGGTCGCTTATCTTATGTTAGTAAGGGAGGTTCGTTGAACTTGGGTTCGGTATAGCAATATATAATTTTTTCCTTGTCTACAGCTGCGAAGGGTGAAAATTTGGCATTTTTCCCGGGCTGGAGCATGGCCAGAAATTGGGGATTATTTATGGACGTGAAACGGTCCTGACGCGGTCCCAATCCGTCTCTATCTTAAGAGAAGAGAATGTACGTAAGAGAGAAAGAGAAAACCCGGTGTGTCCAGTTGGTCCTGCGGGGGGTCCTTTCGCAAAGGAGGAATTCCTTCAGAGCTCGTCACGGGGGAAAGCGAGATCCGGCAATGAGACATGCGGATTATTCTTGTTTCTGTTTCTCTTTTGTTATATTTGTAGCGTTTGGTGCGGTTTTAATACTATCTGTATGGGCTTTGTAAATAACAATATTATTCTATTATTTGCGCATACCATCGCACTTGAAAATTAATTATATGCCGTATGGTCTACTCGAGTAGAATAATGAAATGAAAGAAAAAGAAACAATAAATATAATAGCAAAAATAAATGCCGACAGGATAAATAATTTATTATAATCTACTTTATTTGATATAAATATTATTATTAAAGTCGAGGAGATTATTATTTATCTAAAGGGCCAGAGGCGTATTAAACATTAATTATTAACGCATTTACATATTGAAACATTGCATTATTGAACACAGAAATTTGAAAGAAATATTTTTTAACATTTTATAGTTTTCATCACACTTTAAGAAAAAGTTTGGACTTTATTCTTATTTTAATTGAAGATTCTTATATCTTAACTATGAATTTATAATCTTATTTTTCGCACAAACGTACATTTTACTGTCAATTTGATATTTTTCAATGACGTTACTTGTAAATATATACATAGTACCATTAACGTACACAATCAGACAATGAATTCTTATATAAATTATATGTATTTAGATTATTTTGGAACACTCATGTCGCATCGTTCGCACAAACGTACACTTTGTATGTATGCGTAACTTATTGATTTTATTTAAGAATCGTATTTTGTATATATAAAGAGTACGCTAAGCGAATGTACATTAACAGATGGTGCATTTTCTTATACTTTTACAAATTTTGTACACAAACATGGACTTTGCTGCCAATCCCCGGTATTATAAATCTTTAATATTTTATTTAATAATCTATATCTGCGTATAATATTATATAAGAAACCAACAAATATAGATTTACGTAATATTACCATTAAATTTTAATGTATTTAATGTATTTGTTAAGAGATTTTAGCTTCCAAATAGTCATCAACCTCAAGATACTTCTGCGTGTGAATGCTTGTGGTGTTAAGACTTGTTTCTCTAGCAAATCGTATCCGTTCTACTAAAGTGCCATTCTACTTATCCCGAGTTGGCAAAGGTTACCCAAAGGTCATTCATCCAAGTAGTAAACTCGACATATGTTTGCTTAACTTTTGTTAACTATATACATATAATGTAATTAAATTACAGTTTACGTAATATATATGATGATTTATAATGAATATACTTTTATTTTCAGTAATACCTCGAATAGTTCGGAAATAGTTCCAGACAATTGAAATCAGAATAATACATACAAAAATAAACGACACAAATTACCGGACATAGTGAATCCGGATTGAACGAAGCCATAATAATGATGAGTAATTTTCAAAGATATTATAGTTAGTAAGCATAACATGGTAATAAATGTATTGCTTTAAGGAATATTCACATAAAAGCACTCGAATTCTTGGGCATAGCGTAGGTAAAAAAAAAGACCCATCTAACTTGACGTGATCAGCATGAAAATTATAAATCCCACACGAAAATAAAATACAAAGAAAAATATTATGCTTTATGGAAATGAATAATGCATAAACAACTTGATATAAATTAATTTCACATTGACAATTACACATGATAAATAATAAATTGCAAAATTAATTGTAAATTGATGACAAATGATCTATTCTATAATATCTATAATAAATAATTTTACTTTCACTTATAGACATTGATTAGTTAATTAATTAATTGTTCGCTTAGCGTACAGCAATTTGTGTCTGTATTGTGTACGTTAACTGAACCTTAGCTATATATCCGATATTTCCATTAATTTCATCGAATTCTTGGATATATGTTATATGTGTCGGCATTGTTAATTGTCGTAATTGTAGGAAGGTCCGGTACGTTAGTGCGAACGAAATAGCAAGACGTAATATATTGCTGTCAATTAAAAAAAACAGAAAGGAAACAGTGAAAGGTAACTTCAGTATAAATTAACCTTTAAGTAGTAATCCGTATGTTATAAATTTGCTGCTGACGTCTTTCAGCCATTCACGCTTTCCTTTTGACATTTGGAATGTTTCACGTTGATATCAATATAAAATTCAATTTCAATTATTTTCATATAGATCGATCACTTTAATTCCTCAAATTGTGCAACAATTCTGTTTATAGCTTTCCTATTACGATATGTATGTCACATTCATCAGATTCCATTTCCAGCAGTCTGAGTACATTTGATTCCTAGATGGCATAGCCATGACGTAGGAGACAAACACAATAGTATAAAATAATTGTATTATTATCAACTTGTAATAACTTGTATTTGAGTTACATAATTAATAATAAGCAATAATATTTAAGTGTCATTTTTTTAATTTCCTACTTACAAACCAATTATTTGACGTTGCAACAAATTTTATAATTATTAAAATACAATAAGTTTTAATATAACAAAAGTTTAACAATTAGATTGAATGAGTTATGTCCGTTTGAAAGGTTGATCTTTATTTATCTTTCTATAGAAACATGCATATTTGTATGTTGTCAAACGAAGAAATGCATCTTAGTTAAACTGCTGCAAAGTTATTAATGAAGCGAGAAAGCTACTGAACTATTTTGAAAGATTACCACTTGACAAGGTGCAAAGACTGAAGTTAATTAAAACCTGAGTTGAATAATTGCTTCAGTTCGAACAAAGCACACGAGACTATCCCATTTGTAATGCGTCCAAGCTACCACCTTTCGCTTTGTTAAATATTGGAATCGCACGTATTTTTATTTATACCCTTACATTAACTACATTTATATCTAATTAAGATATTCTTTGTAATTAATAAAATTAATTTCAAATAGTTTTCATTTTTATGAAACTGGATACGTCTGCAGGTGTTTCGGAACCGTCTGAGAATAATGATTAAAATAAAATAGCAATTAAAAATAATATGCATAAAATTCTCATAACGGAATTGCAAATATAATGTACGCAAGGAGGCAATAATCATTACCTGAACATACTTTAAGTTAACTTGTGGTCACAAAATCGCCGCTGTTGATTTTTATTTGTATGTTGTTTTTTTTTTCAAACGTTGTTGATGTTGTAATATTGTTGTTTATCTTTTTATTTCCACCGGTGTAAAGTTAATATGTTTCCGGGAACGAATGCATTACGTAAGTACATTTGTTTAATTATTTTAGATTATCGAGAGATGTAATTGTTAAATGTTTTTATTACACAATTAAGAAATTAAATTCAGAAAATTTAATTGACAATCTGCTGTGTCTTAGTATAATATTAAATATAAAATTGTACTTAACGTAAATTTTATGGCATGTTCGATGATACGTACATAATTATTTATGTACAAATATCAATTCGAACGTAAATCGTAGATTGTGTCATGAGTTTTTACAATGTGTATTTAATTTAAGTTCAAGTCAGATTCAGGCATTATCAAATTTTCTTTTTCTTAGGAAAAGTATGTTCAGAATTTAATATATTATACATTCCTAGAACTCTGAGCTATTTCCTGTTAACTTGTAAACTGTGGTAGAAGCTATTGTTTATTGGTATTAGCATAAACTAGACTTTTGTGTGTGCCTTGTTTCTGTCCATTAATAAAATTGATATATGCCCATTGTCCAAATATGCTTTGATAAATTGAAGATCGATAATTTTGCGGTTACAATTCGAATTGTAACGAATCATACATTATTTTCCATATTCTTGTATATTATTATAATATTTTTTCAATTATTTACAGTTTTTCTTTTAAATAAATTTATTAATTGGTAAATAATTTCTTTAAATATTTGCAAAAAGAAAAATATAAATTACTTCTAAAGTAAATTACAAGTAGTTGAATAAGTATTAGGTAATAAATCATTGTATAATGGAATTATGTTGCACATTGTACGCGATACATGCCAAGTAAGTAATTGATAAGTGTTTGTCATGGATCGGCTTTAAAGCAATGCATTTATAGATAACCCTTAAAGTCGATTTACATAATGAACCAATCGAGCGGGATTACATTCTAATAATTTCGATGCGATAAGTTTTCACACCAATTTTAGCAGGAAAAAAAATTCAAGTACTGTCGCAATTTTTCCTCTACAAATTAGTTTGTAGATAAAATCCTATTTTTGTAATTCAATTATTATATATAATATATATTATTATATATGTTATATAGATATATTTATATATCTACAGAATTGCGATCGGATCTCTGTGGATCCAATCAAATGAGGTAAAAAAAAAGTGAAACGGAACGACGGAACAGAAAAAAAAAACGCGTTCAATCCAGTCCTGCGTTTTATGGCTATCTGATTTATCTTTGATAATGCGCGGGCGGGGGCTATCAATATTTGCTGTCCCTAAGGTATTATTAGTAATCGACGTGCGTTGACAATTTGATGCCGTACATTGTACGCTCGAAACGCCACAACAATGCCAGTGATCAAGTTTACCCAGTGCGAGTGAAATTTCCTGCTGAAAGAAGCGGTAGAAACATAGTAGTCAGTAGGTTGTAAAGACTAGAGCGAGGGTGGACAGTTGTCACAGTTGAGTGGGATTTTGAATAGACGGTCGAGTGATGTTCGTGCTCCTGATCCTTGTGATCCTTTCCTGCAGCGACGCGACTCCTTTCCAACCCTGGGACACGAGGAACTGCAAGTCGGCGACGGACACCTGCAGACCTGAAGAACAGGTCATGAGACCCTGCGAGCCCATCTGCATAGGCGCCAACTGCACCCTGCGGGTAGCAATCATCCTGCCTGAGAGTGAATTCTACATTGTAAACGCCGATGCGGTCAGTATTCCTTTCATACGTTTTTCTATTCCTTTCGTTCTGAATCGAGGATCATTCCTGCAACTTGGCCCTTGATAGGAACATACATAGTATTTTTTTTACATTTCATCCCCCTCGCTGCGATTATCATTATTATTCAAAATCGTAATTCGAGAGCTTCCTTTCAATTTGATTGATTATCCTGCGATTATTTACCCTCCGCAAACAATTATACTCGGCCTCGATATTATAATTGATTTCTACGGTGTCCTCTCATTTCACGCGTACTTTGTTTTTGTTATTCATTCATTTATTCTAATTTATACCCTTCGATTTTCCTTTTCCTGCAGGCGCTCAACGAACTGCAGCTGGCTGAGAAGTTCACGAAAAACTCCGGAATTCTCCCGCAGGATCTCACCGTCAACTTCTCGATCTACAATGACCAGTGTAAGCAAGGTTACGCAACTGTTGCTGCTGTCGATGCTTACACTGACCATTGTTCTCACGTTATCTTTGGTCCTGTTTGCGACTACTGTACAGGTAAGCTTTCTAAAATAATATATTAAAACCTTAAAATTATATAAACGAATTCAAAACTTGACATAAATATGTAAAACTTACTGAACTATACCCTATTTAATTTGTAACTATTATAAACTTCTATTTTTGAGTTCTATCCAATTAATCCTTAAATAAATTTCCATATTAAATATTTTTCTTAACAAAAATTGTTTAATTTTACCAAAAGAAAAATCTATTCTACATTTCTTTTGAACTTTAAAGTCAACAATATTCTAATAATATACACGTATAAAAACAGTAATACTCTGTTATAAACCGGACTAATCGAGGATTTTAAAACCATATCAAAATATACAGCACAAAAAGAGACTTGACTGAATACAGCAAAAAAAGCAATGTATATTTTGTTAAAATTAATACTTACAATGAAATGATTCATTTTCCTTCAAGGTCAATAAAATTATATTTTGACTTTTTCAAAATCTTATCTTGGGTTCTAAGCTACTAGAACTTCAAAAAAAAAGATTTATTTTTCTTCAAGGTCAATACAAATTTATATTAAAATTGTATTATAAAAAAAATAATATTTATATTTAGACTAAGTGTACTTCATACCTGATATGTACATAATTGTAATATATTTGATAATTAAAAGAGTAGTAGCTATACCTCACTATCATTCACTATAGTGCAGTTTAGTCAAATATCGTATTATGTGGTTCATTTTTGTATTTTGTTTCGAACAGTCCGGGATATTGGCGGAACCGCTGTACTTAAAAAATATCAAAATAAATCAGAAATTTTCCTGTTCTCAAAACCATCGATGGCCTCAATAAGAAACCTGTTAATAGCTTATCAATAGCTAAACATAACCTATTTCTGAACCGTGAATGGTACTAGAACTGAAACGAACAGACACACGTTTTGCCAAGTTGAATGCAATTTAATATTTTACCTAAAGACAGCATTAAGCTTGTCATCGGCCCTAGGTACTAGTTATGTAAATGATGACAATGGAAAAGATATATTATTAAATACTAATTCAAATATTTCGTGGTTGTGGTCCCTAGGTACTGTGGCTCTGACATAGATGAATTCAACTTATTTGAGTGTATGATGTTACTGATGCAAAGGTTTTTTATAGGAGTAGTAATCGAAAGAAAAACGTCGAGCGTAGTATTATAATGTTATCGCATTTATTGGTTACGAACATTATTGGGCATTTATCGGTTACGTGCATTCGGGTCGAGATAAGTTACGAACCTGTGCGACTCACGGAGAGTCACATATATACGTACACTCACAGGTTACCATATATATATATTTTTTTACGAAATGATTCTGAAATAATCATCATCAATTATTATTGTAATAAGTACGTGTGGAACGAAAAAGCGCGCCATTGATAATGGATTTATTTACTCAGAAGACAATTCCGTGGCTTATCTCTTTTAAGATTTAATACAAATAAACTCAATCAGTGTGTAATTACTAATAACAAATTTATCTTTTATCGCGTTTCATGATACGGCTCTTATTATATATTTATATGTGTATATAATATATATATTTATATATAAATGGATTGGAAAGGATATTTATAAATTGTTGTTATCAAGAGTGCACATACTTTTTTTATTATTATTATTATTGTTATTTTAATTTTAGGAAGAGAACTCTATTCCACAGTTGCATTAATGGTTATAGTAATAAAGAGCGACAATTGCATTGCTTTTATTACCGATTGATCATGGGTGGATAGGTTTATGCTAATCGTATATTGTTGTACTAATAATAATATGGAGTTTATTGACAGAACTCGCGTTACGTATAGCTTCTTGGTGCAAGAGCAGCAATTCGCTTCCCGCTATAAAACCGGTGAAACACAATAACTCATTTATTTGTATAGCTTTGTTTTGTTTATCGTACATCTCTATTCTCAGTTTAATCCATTTGTAGATGTTCCTTGAAACTCTTAAGTTCGTTAAAACTATATTTATTGGCTTTAATAAACCATGAAAATTCAGGTGAAACATGAAAAAATCTTGTTCTAAAATAGTAAATTTGAACATCCTTATTAATAATAAAAAATACTTGCAAATTAATTTTAATAGTGAAATAAATTTTCCAACATAGCTCATAGAAAATAAAAGAAAATTGAGGTAAAAAATAACTTGCATTGTCCGGCTTCCAACAGTCCGAATTCACTATAGTACGGTTTTATTTAAACAAAAGAAAATAAAGGTGTTTTTTGTTTGTTTGTATTTAGTTCTTCGATTAGTCCTGTTTCAAACAGTACTGAATATTGGTGAAGTATTGCTAAGCTAGTAGTGATTATGTAGTAACAAATGTATCCATGTTAAATTGTAGTAATAGTTAAAGAAACATATATAATAGTTGTTTGTAATTCGAATAGTTTTCATTTTTCTTATATAATAATTAATTGTACATCATTATTTTGGAAACTTCTTAGGTCTCAATTCCTTTGATAAAGCTGTTTTCCAGGTAATATTATTTTGGCTGTGCATCGCCTTTGTAAACATTTGTATGTTTTATATAATGGTCTCAAGGCCCATTGAAGCGGTATTATTATATTGTCATGAGATATGAACGCCAATATTTGTTTATTTTCTCTACAAATGCATTGATTTGTCGAACTTTGATCTTCGAACTCCAATTATAAAATCGCGACATTCTGTTTTGTAAAATAAATGAAGCAAACTCCAGTTTCTTTTCAATGTACAGCTTGTTTGTCACTTATTACACATATTCGGTTAGTTCAAGCGAATATTTCTAGTGTATTGATTCTTGCTTGAATTCACAAATTTTTACTTCCTAGTATGAAACCTTTATACAAAGGACATCCTCAATATCCGACATCCGTTACGTTCTTTATCTTTGGTTTTATTCCACGTAAAGGATTTTATATATACTTTGATATTTATTTACACCATTATGTTCTTATTTATTACTACTTTCTTATTCTTATTACATAACATTTACTAACATACTAATAACAATCTTTTTTCTGCAATAAGTAATTTACTCTTTTATAATGTAAATAAATATTTGGTAATTGAACAATTATACATAATTTACTGAAATTAAGATATTGTAAGTGTCATGTATTAATTTAATTCTTTTTTTATTGTTTTAGCAAGTGTGGGTCGTACGGTGCAATATTTAGCTAGTTACGGAACACCTTTGATAAGTCCTGGAGGATTCTCTTTTGATTTCGTCATAGAGAAGATCAAATGCGATCAGGAGTTTTTCATGTTAGTAAATGCAGGTATTATGGATTACCTGTCGTTTGGCGAGTTCTTATATCTAATGATGATCAGGTGAGGAAACCCAGTGTAAAAGCGTATAACGCCTTCTACTATTGATCAAGGGGGTATCGGTGTTCACAGATTCAAATGGGTTAACTTCACGCTGATGTACGAGAAGTATGACCAGAACCAAGTCGGAGGTGATCAAGGTTGCCAGCTTCTAATGAAGAGCTTTATGGAGCTCATCAAGAACATGGAGTTGAAGTCTAAGTTTGTAGATGGCGACATTGTCATGTTGAAGATGTCCTACGAGGATTACCTAACGCAAAAGGTCGGCGTGGATTATGGAAGTAGGTAAAAGATTTGCTTGGCCGTTAGCCCACTGGTTAAGATATTTGGTATTACAGTCGTCGTGTTGTGCACATCACCGGAGCACACGAGGGAGATCATGCTGGAAGCGGAGAAGTTAAAGATGACGGAGAGCGGAGAATACGTGTTCTTAAATTTTGATATGTACAGTAAGTAAGTTGCTGGTATCACCAATGAAAGGAAAATTTCACGACAGACTGTTTTTCAATTGTATTAGCTCGACGCGACCATCGCAACCTTGGTACAATCAAAACGATACGCTGGAAAACAACGAAAAAGCTCGAAGGGCTTATAAGTCCTTATTAACCTTCACACCTTGGGATGAGGCTCAAATCGTTGAAGGCACCGCTAATCAAACTAGTCCAGGAAGCGTGTATCTGGATGGCATCTACGATGGTTTTGTTTTGTACGCGCACGTCCTCCAGGACCTCCTCTTCGGCAATAACGATACCGAGAATGTGGTTCTGCGTGGCGTCGACGTGGTTAGCAAGATGTTCGGATACAGATATATAGGTAACTTTCAAAGCAAATCTTGTTCACAATTTTATCTCTTCTAATTTGAAGGCAAGCACGACAAGAAAATTGTGATTAACTGCAACGGACAGAGGGTCGCGAAGTACGCTTTGATGCAAATGAATGGAGAAGATAAGTTTCACATTGTGGCCGAGTATAATACATTAGATAAGGAGGTGCAAATGCTGAAGAACATCACGTGGGTGAGCGGCACCCAGCCTGGAGACACTCCGGTCTGCGGCTACGATAACTCGAAATGTCCCAGTAACTATAGAATTTAATTATAAACTCGCCTGAAAACGGCATTAATTCAAACAATTGCTTGCAGCTGAAGTGAACGTGTTTTTGATAGTGGCCTGCGTCGCGGTCGGTATCGCCCTAATTATCTTCTCGGCCTTCCTCTACAGGTAAGCTTCGGATCTGTGTGGTAGCTGGTGCTAATCCCTCGGTATTGCAGGCACTACAAGCTGGAAGCGGATATTGCTTCGATGACGTGGAAGGTGAACTACGATGACATCAATTTTTTTGAGAAGCCTCGGAGCAGCATATACTCGTCCTGCGGTTCGATTGCGAAAAGAGGCAGCCAGGCGGTGAGCATTCCAATCCTCGCAATTCCGGAACTCCTTTTGATCCTCTTGTTTTTTTTTATACGTTCCTTCCTATAATCATCTTCTTATTTCCTTTTCTTTATCTGCTGCTTAGACGTTGGTGTCGGATATGGATGCGGGAAGTTTAGCTGGGGATAGGCAGCTTTACACTACAGTGGGTTACTATAAAGCAATACGCGTGGCCGTGAAGAGATTGAAAGACGCCAAAATCGAACTAAACCGGTCGCAGTTAAAGGAGATGAAAGCTATGAAGGACTTGTCAAATGATCACTTAGTTAAATTTTACGGTGCTTGTTTGGATAGTCCGCACTGCTGTATATTAACCGAGTACTGTCCGAAAGGATCGCTGCAGGACGTCCTCGAGAACGCCGAGGTGAAGCTTGATTGGGTCTTTCGGTTGTCCTTAATACACGATATTGTGCGGGGCATGCAGTATTTGCACAACAGTGATATAAAATCTCACGGGGCGCTGAAATCCTCGAACTGCGTTGTTGATAGTAGATTCGTGCTGAAAATAACCGATTTCGGAATGGGATTCATCCGTTGCTACGCTCTGGACGACAGCTCCGACGGACACAACCAGGAAACGCACTCCTACTGGGAGAGTAAGCTTTAAATTGCTTTGGTAGTCGTAACCTAGTGTTAATCGTCCTTGTTTTAGGACAACTGTGGACGGCACCCGAGCTGCTACGGATAAACAACAGGCCCATGCAAGGCACCCAGAAAGGTGATGTCTACTCCTTCGCCATCATCGTCCACGAGATCGTAACGCGACAAGGCGTCTTCTACTTGGGAAACAACAATAACATTTCCAAAAGCGGTAAATTAATTGAATTTTCTACACTATCCCATTCCCAGCGTTGATTATGCAATTAGCCGCCAGATTCGAATTCAGATTTGACCACACAGCAATTGGCATTACCCTCTCATCAATGACTATTCAAATTCGCTAATCATTTCGGAAGCTGTTGGACCGGAGTTGTCCAGAATCTTTCGTACGTGCCTCTCTTGTTCTTCATCTCCACCATTCTTTGGGGAAAGAATACTCGATTCCGGGGTTCGGTGGTGGTGGTTGCGCTCCGGGGCGGCGCTCGCATCGGCGCAGCCATCGATTTCTCAGTTTCCTCTGGCGAAACTTGCAGATCGACGATCAGTTTGCTTCTGGTTGTTGGACGATGTAAACAGGCCTTCAGCAAACAGAACTCCAGCAACACGTAAACGCGCTCCTAAAAATCTTCAGCAGGTGTATTTTCGGAAGTTTAAACTACAAGTCGCGCTATGGCTAAAGGTGGACCTGGGGCAATGTCCTTGTCTTTACCCGCTGATATATCGCCAGGAAAAGAGGTCGGCACGTCGACATCTCCGAGGAGGGCCGTCAGTCCTCTGCTCGAGGTTCGCAGACCGCACTGCACTTTGAACTGTGACAACTGCAACGCGATCCTCGAGGACCGCTTCAAGCATTTAAGTAAATATCGTAGAGTTTGTTTACAATACACGCGCGTCGGAAGTGAAAAGTTTTCTATAAACTTCCGGCGGGACTTGTGGCGACTTCTTTAGGAGATATTTTTTTGATGGTCCTAAATTTCGCATAACTTTAAAACTTCTTAAATTTAAGCTTATTTTGTTTTTCAATAAATTGAATCGTTTGCTAAGCAATTCTCTGACAAGTTTTGCGTACAAATAGCAACGATTATGTAGCAATCCGACACTATAATTGAATCGGAAGCACTAATCTGCGATTCATTAAATCTTATTGGCAATTAGCAAACTTATCCGTCGCTTTGCTTGATGTCGGAAGAAAACATAAACAAATTCTCTTTATTGATTTGAACCTAGGGCACATTAGCATGTCGTTTTAGCCCTTAGTGCGTACACAATATCCACTGTTCATTTGACTTTTAAATTCGTAGGCGCCTTGGCTAGGGCTCGACTGAATCTCCTCGCTCTTTACCTCCCTACATTATTTGACCCGGCGCATCCACCTCATCCAACATTTTCTTGTACGACAAATAATATCTCGCACCGTGCATTCCAATGTCTTTATTATTATTATATATTTATATGATCAATATTTCAACACACGCAAAGCTTATAGAAATTAAGGTATAATATTCCTTTTTACAACTATTCTTCCAAATTTAATTGATGCTTTAATCATCTCTAATTATTGCTTCTTAAAGATGAAACAAGTTTGAATCAATATTTAATGCAGTGCACACGTCTAAAACTCCGTTTGGCCCAGTTTTCTTCAAACTCAATGCATAATCTTCAGTTCAATTAGTAATACGTACAATGGCGCGAAATCTATTTCCCGTCGGGAATTTTAAAGTATTGAAAATCAGTACGCATCTTTACGAATCTTTTACGTTGACGTAAAATTAAGTATAAAGATACATAAATCAAAAGCGGTTTTTATTTGTAGAAATTGTTGAGGGAGTCAAGAAGGGAGCCGAAGGGCCGAATGGTCAGCTGTTGCGGCCTTTGATAGATGAAAACACTTGCGATGACGATGTGTCCGGTTTGATGCAGCGTTGCTGGACTGAGGAAGCCGCTGACAGGCCGGACTTTAACGCTCTGAAGAATACTATTCGCAAGATTAATAGGTAAATTGGTGTATTCAGTATACTCGTAGCAGTCGTTTACATTTGGTAGTAATAATTTCAGAGGAAATGGAAACGACGGTAACTTGTTGGATAATCTTTTATCCCGTATGGAGCAGTATGCCAATAACTTGGAGACGCTCGTCGAAGAGCGCACTGCTGACTACTTGGAGGAGAAGAGGAAATGCGAGGAGCTTCTATACCAGTTGCTTCCGAAAAGCGTTGCTCTTCAGTTAATCACAGGTAACTCTGTGATTGCTGAGACCTTTGACCAGGTCACTATTTACTTCAGCGACATCGTCGGCTTCACTACTCTCTCGGCTCAAAGCACTCCGCTGGAAGTCGTCTATCTTCTCAACGATTTATACACTAGTTTCGATTCCATCATCGAAGAGTTCGACGTTTATAAAGTAAGACTTACAAGAAGATCTAATGCGCGACAATAAATTGGTGCTTTTTGTTACCATATCTGCTTAGGTCGAGACCATCGGCGATGCTTACATGGTTGTATCCGGATTACCGGAGAGGAACGGCAACAAGCATGCTTGCGAGATAGCCAGGATGTCTTTGGCCCTTCTGGCTCAGGTTCGTAAGTTCAAGATCCGTCACCGGCCGCAGGATCCTCTCAAGCTTCGCATTGGAATGCACACCGGGCCTTGCGTTGCAGGTGTAGTAGGGCTTAAGATGCCCAGGTATTGCTTATTTGGTGACACTGTAAACACCGCGTCTCGCATGGAATCCAATGGAGAACCATTGAAGATTCACGTCAGCACCGCCACCAAAAAGGTGCTCGAGAACTTCAAGACCTTCGACTTGGAGTGTCGTGGAAACATCGAGATTAAGGTAGGTTTCAGAGGAGGTGTCTGTTGCGATTTCCAACAAATATTTTGCAGGGGAAAGGTAAGATGACTACTTACTGGTTGAAAGGAGAGATCAAACCTCCGGTCGAGAAGCCGAAGACGATGCCGAAACCCACCGTCAGCACTCCGATGCCCAAAAGAGAGATTACTTTCAGCAACAACACCGGCTCATTGAACACCGTCGATACCAGCGTGGATGAAGCAGCTATACCATTGCTGTCCATCATCATCCCCGACAATTCGCAAAATTAAATCGACGTTGTGTCTCCAAAAATAAATGTTGTACCAATGTTCTGTACTCTATATCGTGGCGGGAGCTGCACCTTCCCCTTTTAAAGAGAATATATGTGTGTATATGAAGATGATCCTTAACCCTGTGCAGCTCTCGATCTGGACCCCTTCGCTTAGACCACGCTAGACTAGTGGCCGTGACCAGTACTTGCGGACCACCCCTCCCTATGTATTCCCCGAGTTTCCACCTTCTCACAGTATTAACTCTGTTTTCAATGGATTCTTTAGAAACAACAACTAAAAAATATATATATATACCAAAGAATACTGCAATCAGAGTTAACGTTTCCATCGAGCTTTAAACCCCCTATGTGATAGTATTAGCTTGGATGTTCTTACTAAATGTTAATGGTAACTCTGACTGTAGCTTCAAATTTTATTTATTATATAATATAATTATTTTATTTTCGTTGATTTTATTTTCGTTAGCCAATTTCGTTCCACTCGTTTTGTTTTGTTTATATTATTTATGCACTGAACAATTACCAAGAAAAAGAAAAATGATTTGCAGATTGACAGAGAAAACAATTGAAAACAAAAAACAAGGTAATGAAATTGCAAGAATATATTTATTTTAAATCTCAAATTGCACATATTATATTTTTTATTGATATATACCAAATAATATATACTTGTTATTTAATTATATGGAATAATATATATATATATATATGTATGTATAAATATACGAGAAAATTATGTATGTAAATGATAAAAGAAACAAAATATAACTGACTGTTTAAGGCATTTCTTCAACCTTGTTTTTACTTGACTATTGTCCTTTTTACTATCCAAGGGATGTACTTGTCCACTCTAGTGTAGATACCTGGCAGACCTCTGTCTCCGCAACCGATGCCCCAGGATACGATTCCGATCGCAACCCATCTGCCGTTCTTCAATTGGTAAACCAAAGGTCCTCCAGAGTCGCCCTGTAAAGGTGATTATATAATTTCTTATGTTCGAAAGGTTTGTAAAAGATTCGACTTTACCAAACATGAATCCTTGCCACCCTCGTGAGCAGCCGCGCACAGGCTCGTGTCGCTGATCCTCTGCGCGAAAGCATCCACGCATCGCTTATGCTCCCAGATTGGAACGGACACCTCCAGCAGGACTTCACTGGTGGGTCCCGCGTAGTACTGCTGGCCCCAACCAGCTACGGTCGCGGTCAGCCCTTCGTACGAGGCATTCAAAGGTGGAAGACAGATCGGCCACATGTACGAATTAAAGTTAACAGACTTATCAAGGGTGATTATCGATATGTCATTGTCGTATGTCCCTTGACTGAATTCCTCGTGGTTCGATATGAGGGACACGGAGAAATCACGGGATCGCGTCTCACCTGCCCTACCGAAGTCGTATTCGCCCAATCTGACTCTAAAATCGTTAGCTTTCAACCTGTGAAGTAATTGATGATGATAAACTTGAATCAATTGCACATAAATCATCTCCTTCGTTACCCGTTAAAGCAATGTGCCGCTGTCAGGATGTGCTTGTCCGTGATCAAGGCTCCTCCGCAGAACTGCCTGTTGCCTTCGCTCGGTTTGTACAAGGTCGCCAACCAAGGCCATCGCTTTGCAGGGCTTGAGGCCCTATTGCCTACTGGACGCGCCAACTCCGTCAACCCGCAACCTGCAATCACTTAGCTACAATGTGTTGCCTACACTTCTATGACTTAAGCCAAGTATAAAAGATAAGTGCACTTTATTATATTTAAATATTTTTAATTTTCCAAATAGTTTTTTTTATCTAACATTCTTTGTAATTCTCTTCATTATTAAATAATACTCTTCATTATCATATCCAATGATACGGAGCACTTTTATACATAAATGATTCCTCGATTAATCCGGTTTCAAATAGTCCTGGATATTGGCGGAAATTGCACTTTACAACGATGGTATTTCTGAAGATATGAAATATAATTTAAAACTTATTGAAATACAAATGTCATTCATTTTAAAAATAAAATAATTTTTGTATGAAAATTTGCTATAGATAATAATAAAATTCTATCCAATTGTATTAAGCTCTTGTAAGTGATTGTGACCACATTATGTATAAATCTAAATTGCGTGGACATTGAGTGGTGGATATGAAATTCCTGCAATGTAAATCGCCTTATGAGGATTTATTGAGTTCTAGGAAGGCATAATAATATTACACCGAAATCGCAGCTGACAACGTTCTAGACGATATTTATGATGAAGATGAAACATGTATGCTGCATTTCCATTCTTCGTCGTCTTGCTTACTATTCCTTTGTGCGGAAAATCCGCGAACAGAGGAAAACTGTCTTCCTTTATTTATTTTACTGTATTGCTTTTATATTGTATTGCATCGATTGATATACGGAGAAAGCTGGAAGACGTGATTTATTTCATCATTTGTTGGAATAATTAAAATATAGTTTTCTGTACAATAAATGAACAACTTTGCTGCTTTTACTTGAATTAGATAACTTCGAAGCAATCTATTAATAATATTTGTTAATTTATTTGTATATAACTAAAATTTATGTATCTACAATGGGTCTTAATTTACACTCATACCTCGTTTAACAAAGTTCTTAATTTAAAATCCTAGTTTTATGTTAAAATTAAATGAACAGAATTTCCTGTCAAAAAAAGTTATGATTTCAGAAGTTTAGTAAAATTGTTCAAAATCATTGATTCATATTTTTATTCTATTCGTTTTATTTTCTTTCAAAAGCACTAAATCATTTCCACCTGTTGATGTAGAAGCTTTCCAAATAAAATTCGAAACAAAAGATAATTAAATTAAATTCTGCTTGAAAGGGTTGAAGATGATTTTAAATTCGATTTACTAATGCAATAAATCAAGTTGTTCAAAACAAATATATATATTTTTTCCGTTTATTTATTATTATTAAGTTTATAGATTTTATAAATATAAAGGTGCACCCACACCTTTCTTATAAAAAAAATAAATCAGCACCTGCATTGAGAAATATGCATTGCAAATTCGCTTCATAATACGTAATTTGAAACACCATTAACGTTAATTAATATGAACAATAACAGTGATCAATTAATTTTCAAGCTATTACAAATAATTCTGATAAATCATTTTCCATTACTCGGTCAAGGTTAAATCGTATGAAGGTTCCACTTTTATGCATTTAATGATGACCCATTAGTAATAACATTGATATATTTACTCGTTGTTATGCGGTTTTATTGTCCTCGATTAGTCCTGCTTTAAATACAGTAAAGCAATACCTCGTATAGTGCGACTTCGATCAATTGGAATTCACTATAGTTCAGTATAGTTCACTATAGAAAAAATATAAAAAAAAAACTATAGTAGACAAAATGCTTAAAAATATTTGTTTTCTTTTATATTTTTGAGCAGTTTATCTAAAGTTTTTGATTAGTCCAGTTTCAAACAGTCCTGGATATTGACAGAATCCGCACTGTGCGAGGTATTGTTATAATTGCAAATATTTATCAAATATAAAAGTATTTCTCTTTATTAAGATTGAAATTGGACTATGATTGTGTTATGATTTGGAATCCTTAGTGCAAGAGACGCAAACATATAATCTTGGGAGCAAATTAAAGTTCTGAGTATATTATTATGAGTTTGTTCAAATGTACTTTTGGCACGCTTTTCCGTATTTTCCTTGCATCTTCAAAGAATAATTTTAGTTGGAAAATTTTATATAACTTTTTACACCGAAAAAAAAAATATTAATATTCTTGAAAACGAATATTTCAGCTATATTAATGACATTATAAATTATTATTTTGTTGTTATTGTTATTATTTTATTCTATTATTATTATTAACTTACTATTTTTGTTTTATAAACTTATTTTTAAAATGAACAAGATAAAAATTCCCGGAATAAATCTTCGATAATAGCATCCACTACTTTACACATTTATTAAATTGTAATTGATCTAACGCACATATAAATCTATTTCTGTCTCTGCAGAAATAATCTTAAAAAAAACCATTTTTTGGTTTTTAATCCTACACTAAATTTAAAAAAAAATACTATTATATAAACAAAACATGGTTGTGTAAATAATAAGTTTATTCAGGAATAAATTGAAATCATGTTGTTTATTACCCTACATTATTCATGAATATTTAACTAAAGCGAAATTCCTGTGAAGAGGTTATTTGCCTCTGGCCCTTCTGACCTATTAATTCTATTTTCATAATTATGAGAATAATATGAGCGACACCTCATTTTATCATTGCGAACATAATTGTTTACACTTAATGAACACATTGTCCAATTAAATCCTTGCTCAAATATATTTTAGTTGACAGATGTATATTATATATTAATACATTATTTATTTCTTCTGTTTTAACTACGTCAGTTTATTTGGCTGAAATTTTTGATATAAAATATAAATAATTTAGAAAAAGTCCAAGGACCTTTGGTCCTGATGTATAAGATATTCTGAATTTATATGGCGATTTATAAATAATTGTGTACGTATTATCGAACATACGTTAAGAGGGTGTACGTTAAGTGAGTGCTTTTTGTATTAACAATACTTTTATAGAAAAATCGATCTATAGTATTTATTTTATTCTTACTTATTTGAGATATTTTTTGTTAAGATATTTAGGAACAAATATTTATAATTTATTCCAATAAAAATGTTGCTATAATTATATTTTTTAGAAGAATTTTTGATAAATGATTACAAAAACTTGTATTTCCAATTTGGGTTGTAATTTAATGAAATTCAATTCGTTAATAACCTAACGAATGAATGACCAATGCAGTCTTACCGCAGCGTACAGGGAATTGTATGCTGTCATATTACCAGAGCAACCCTATTGGATTATCCGCTATCGAACTGAAATCCTTTCTCACCAATGAGGTCATCTTGCATTATCCGATCTGCAAGAATCGAGTACGTCTTTTGTTAAAAAAGGCAAATCCCGTATCCGACGCACACGGAAATCTAGCTTAGTGCATTCAACAAAATGCAATTCGAACCAATTCTTTTAATGAATTTAAATCGAATTGAGAAATTCCAATTTAAAATATATATATAATTCCAAACTTTTGTTTAAACAATCGATACAAAATAATCGGTTTGCTTATGGTTTATGAAACAAATGTGCTTAATTATAAATGTTTCAAAACTAAGATGTTTGACAAATGATTCTACAACTTTCAGTTGTCATTAATAAAATTCTATAGTATTTTCTTTTGCAGTATGTATTCATATTATTATTTATTTGTTTAGCTACAGCGAATTACTGTTATTTTGTAAATATACGGAAATTTGCTAAACTCGTAATAATTCATAGACTGTGAATTATTACGCGTGTAATAAATACGTACAAGTAAGTAGTAATAATTCATGAAATTGTTAAAAAACTAACTAATTAATATTTTATACCTCTCTTTAACTGGAGAACATATTTTATTATTGTCGTTTATATTTCATGCTAGTGTTATATTTTAAAAAAAAGTAATGAAGAAGAAAAAACAAATCGTTATTGTCGAACGTTATGAGTAATGTAAAGTGAGAGATAACGGTATAATAAAATAAGAAAATCGAATAAGAAATGTATATATATATATATGAAGTTGTGCCTGGTATGGATGTGTGTACTTTATGGACGCAGTAAAAAGGACGAAGCGTAGCAATCCATGCCGTGATATTTGCTTTAATAAAACCAACATTACCCACAGACAAAGACTAAAAGAGGTTCGATTGATCTCGTGATTTCATGAAAACTGAAGCGAATATTTAAAAGGAACGGACAAACATAGATAACTAGAAAATTATAAGTAAATATAGTTACCGTTATTCCATAAAATTGTTCGTTATAATCTGTGTAAAGTTTTCATGAAATATTTTCTTTAAATCTATAGAAATTACTCGAAGTCGGGTAAATATTGTTTATTATTGATCGGTTCAATTTTGGCAACTGCTTGTATATTGAATTTTGTTAAATTTGATAGATAATTTAAAAGTATTTTTACTATATACTTTACAAGTCTTAATAATAAAATAATTCTGGAAGATTTTTTTAATGCCGAGAAAGTTTGTAAAGTTACGGGATTTCCCGGGAAATTTTATTTAAAAAGAACATAGAATATAATTTCCCGGGATATCCCGGAAAACACCTACTAACATATATTAATATGGGTTAAGTTACGGTAGTGGTCTAACTTAGACTCCGGTCCAAGTCCGGCAACTCTCCCTTATATATTTATAGGTGTTTTATAGAATATCTATACAAATTGTTAAAGTATGAAAAGTTTGTTATTCTATAATTTCTCTAGTTAATGTATAGAATAATAGTAACGCTTGTAATTATGTAATTATAATTCTATATATTCCTCTAGTAGTAATCTTATATAATGACTAGGTAATGTATATAATTACTAGATAAATTATTAAAATATATAAATTAACTATCGATTTCATGAAATACATAGAATATCGATAATATAAACTTTAATGGTAACATATGCATCAAATAATTTTGGTAAATGGATGGGAGGAAGCTTTGAGCCTCATCCATCGATTTTCGATTAGCGCTCATTCATCGTGGTGCGGTTTTTTTCGTTGGGACTTTTGGGGGGTGGTTTTAGGGGGTTATTTTCATGTAAGATTGGCTATTAGGGTTGGTGTCGGAGAGGGCGCTAGTGGTTTAAAATTAATACTGAACCAGTAAATGCATCTTCGTCATCGTATTCTTCGCCTCCGGCTGGTAAATCCATAATCAATTGAGCTCCCGTCAAACTTTGCAGCAGGATGTCATCCGGACAGCAGACGCCCACGTGGCTGAAATGACAAAATTACAATGATTTACTACACTTTTCTTCAACATCTTTCACCCTAATTAGGTTACTTTATCTTGCAATGAAATTAAGGATGATGCTCTGATATAATGCGAGTATTTTAAAGCACAAGCACATGCTTTGGTGCACTTCAAGCAGATGACCTTGATTTTAATGCTCTGAAATTTATCAAAGAAAATTTAAACTAATAATCAAAGACAAACATATTTTACGAAAGAAAAAATTAATTAATTATTTGAAAATATTAATTAAATTAATACAGTGTAAATAGACAAACAAATTAGTGGACAAATAACGGATGTTGGAAATTATTAGCATATGATGTCGAGTTCGGATGCATATATTTGCGAAATCATAGTCCAATTAACGTACGCCGACTGTAAAATATACATTCGCAATAACATCGAGTACGTTCATGCGAATAAACCAAAAAAAATAGATACATGTATTTGAAGATAATTAACGTACATTAGCAAAGAAGACTGTAAAATATACGTTTGGAAGAACATTTAATACATTCGTGCAAACAAAAAGGCATTTATATACATTGTCCGTTTAAAGTACAGAAATTTGTGCACGAATTATCCACAACACTACCTCGTACAGTTTGAATGGTTTATTTTTATATGTATTTACTTCTTTGATTAATACGGTTTCAAATACACGAATATATATGTGATTATCCGCACTATGCGAGGTATTATTTGTTTTTAAGAGATTAAAATAATTGTTTTTTTTTATGTTAATAATAGTTTATTATTACAATTGTAACAGGACAAATTTTCGACGTTGAAAAAGGATAAGGATTTTATATCATAAAATTATATAAATTAATGTACAATATTTTTTTTTGTTTGAATTTGAATGATGATAAGTGGCGTTATCTGGATTTAATTTTAGATATTAAATATTTGGAATGTGAATTGAAATTAAATTTTACGATCGATGTGGAATCCAATGTATTTTACGGAGTGAGAAAGCTTTATTGTATTATTTTTCATTTAATATGAGAAATGTGAATTTTTTTTATAATTCATTCTTTTTTTACTCGCCACGTGTTATACAATCTAATTTGAAAATGCGAGGAAAAATAAACGTGATATAATCGGAATAAATTATATAAGAAGGATGAGAAACGAGAATTTTTTTTTTCAGTTCTTATGTTACGTAACCATTAAAGGATAATTGTAGACATCACATTTTTCAGAATATGAAACTTAAATAAAAATATAGGAAAATTGAATTATTGCAATAAATTTACTTGATCTAAGTTAGTTAAGTGATACATGATGTGTAGTTACGAAAGTTTTGAGAAACGTGTGTCGAGAAAATTGATGGCGAACTTACAACACGTAATAAATATTGATCTGAAGGAAGTCTATGATGCTCTTCTTGTAAGAGGAGCACTCACCTGTTAACATTTTTTTTTATCACGTAACTGAATTTGCTTATTTCCGTTTAAAAAAAAATGTATATTTTGTTCATCATAAATAGATTGCATATTACGGGTCCGCCAATATTCCGGACTGTTTGAAACCGTACTAATCGTGGACTTTATAAAACTAAAAATTAACCACCACAAAAACTGTATAAAAGCAACGAATGAACAAATTTGAATAGTAACTATTGGATATGCTAAACAAAACGTATTGACTAGTAATTTTTTTTTGTGAATGCGTACGTTGGTTTCGATTTTCCCATTGAAATGAGATACTACATAAACCATTATTAGCATCTCGCATTTACAAAACTCACAAAGACTGGTATTTGCTGTGAAAATACACGGGAGCCGAGTTGATCTTCTCAAACAGATTTGGACGGACACTGGAAATTCGTTTACTCCGGTTTGTAATTAACGTCGATAAATGTTTGTCCAACATCAGATTGTTGTGAAAATCGATAACTTTTCGTTACACAACGTCAGTTTGATTTCAAGGTATTTTGTAAATTATAAATAATAGTACGGGATAATTGCGAAACCCGTACTAAGCGAGGTATGCGTAATATAATGGAGTTTCTGTTATTAAATTCGTTTAATGAAAAGGAGACAACAATTTAATGTTATTGTATTAAATCTACAAGACAATAACAAAAATATGAGACTGAATAAAATAAAATTTAATAAAGGTTAAGAGTATTGTTGTATACGAAGATTACATTACGTCAAGCGTAAGGGACTCTTAGGAAATAATAAACTCGAATCATCCGTCGGATTTATTCGACAAAAACAATACAAATTATACTTGAAACTCGTTAATGAAACAATTTTATTTTTTTTTATTGGAATTGAATAAAAAAAAATATGTATTAAGCAATATTAGTGCATAAATATAAAATAATCTATATATTAGAAGCAATAGGCGGAAAGACCCCGGTCGTTAGCCCTTTGGCCAGCCTATTAATATATATATATATATTTTTAATTTTATGTTAGAATTTATTTATATGTAAAGAATGTACTTTTTTTCTTATGTCTTATGTATTAATGTTTGACCAATAAAAAATACTTATAAATAGAAGCAATACTGGAATTTCATTTCTTGGACGATTCGGTCCCCGAACAATAATTTCATTTTCGGTTTACGAACCATTTTTACATAATTTTAAGATTGTTCCAATACCTATTAACATATTATATATTAATATAATACTAGGATTAATGATAATCATATGATAATGAAACAAATTGTTTATTACCATCACAATGTCCATTATATTACAGAGATTTGGTTTCAGTTGTAATTGCAGTATTATTCAATTACAGCAGTATACATTACTCAAATCAGATCAGGAATGTGATTATCATCATCTAAGGATGTCGCGAATTTCAACTGTTTCTATAACATTGTATACAAATACAGTGTATGGACAAATTTATACTTAAATCATATTTTTTTTTTTCAAAAATATTACTGTGTTAAATTTCTTATAGGAGATTTATTGTGGATTATTTAAAATATGAAATAGAATGTTATTATTAGTTCCACATTTTTTAGGTTTTCAATAGAAGTTGTGGGTTTTCTGTAAAATCCGGATGTGTAGTCATCTAATAATCAGAGGATGCTCTATAAGTAAATGCATATTTGCAATTCGAATCTTTTGTGTATTCTAATTGAAATTGGGTTTCGTCGTTTGGTATAATGAAACCGTGTTATGCTATGGGGTTGGAGCACCGGCTTACCTGTACAAGGAATTGACCATGAATGTGAAATGAAATGCGCTCTTTATGGAAATGCTGGCAACGCCTACGTGTCTGAACTGTTCAAAAACGCAAAACACTGTCTTGTTTATTTCTCTTTTTTTTATATACATATTTTCTATTCGTGCTTCTCTTTTTTTTTTGTTTCATGTTCGTACGTTCCACAAGTGTGTTTTGCATTTGAAAAGTCGTGATTTATGTGGAAACAAGCATTGATCCGAGGAGACAATCTGTGCGTGCGATGCCGCCTCGCAATTCGCTCACATTTTTTCAATAATGCAGAGGTAGTCCAACGCTGCCTTCCCAGAGATGCCGACCACGTCCAAAGGGCAATAGATGACATGCTTGCAGTGCCCTTCGACCTCGCCGGGCGCGACGCATTCCTGATATCTACGGTTTAACTACAGACAATGTTAGGGTTTTGAGGCTTATTTCAAAACCGTTTTCGTTTTTTGATAAATTTATAAACCGGTTTTCAAATTTTAAAAACATTATGAATATGAAAAAAAAAATATTTTGATTAGAGACGTAAGAAAAAAAAAAACAAATTTAGTGAAGTTTTATATTTTTGTAATTTTATTAAAATAGTAAATTAAATTTGGAAATACTTGAATCTGAAAACCGTTTTTTTTTGTATATAAACCTTAGCTGTTTTTTTATAGTTTAGGTTAACTAGTGATTATAGATCAGAGAGTTTTACCTTGTATCTTTTGCTGAGCCCTATGTACCTTTTGCTTCTGGAATGGCTCACATTGTAATCGTCGTTCAGGAAGTCGAAGTCTGGTCTATTGATCAGGCTGATTGAGCCTGGAAGTAGGCAAGTATATGAAATACAATAAAGATCCGAAGGGTCGAACTCCGAGGCCAAAGGGGAATTTAAGCGGTTGATTTAGGTTCGACGTCGAGGGAAGTTCTAATTACCTGCTGGTGGCATCCACCGGGCACTGCTCAGGACCACAAGGAACGTCAAGCAAACTATCGAGATCATTTCACACTAAACTAGTAAATTTTATTCTTTTCTCATTCATTTATATTCAGTATCAAAAATACAATTCGCAGATAAATTTGTTTCCTGTACTCTGCGATTGTGAATCACCTACTACACCCACCATACGATTACCAACATTATTATTTGGATTAATCTATTTTCATGTCCTAATTTATTCTAGCCGTTTAAATAAAAAAACTAGTTCTTGTCAAAACAGTTTCATTCAAAATTTATATTTATTAGACTTTACCAATTATTAAAATATGTTACCTTAATTATTAATTTTGATAAATCCCATCAGAATTCAGTTAATGTACATAATTTCCATACGTTAAGTAAATGTACATTAGACAAATAGACATTCCCATATAAATGTATGCAGTTTTATTGGTACACATGCGTTTGTCAATTTGCAGATGATGTTTGATGTTCTTACGAACGTACAATTATCCAACTAACATCATTTGTGATACGTCACTTGTTATATTATTGGACCTTAAATAGCGAACGTACGTTAAAAATGTGTACGTTAAATGAACATTGCCTGTTAATTTCTGTATAGCATCCTATATTATTTGATTATACAAATTTGTACATTAGACAGACGAACAATTCCCATATAAATGTTCTTAATTTTAAATAAATTTTCTCTTTTTTTATACCCACTGGCGTGTCAGAGACGCCACGCAAGTAACGTAGGGACAATTAAAATGTTAGCATATTAAAAGGAAATATTTGTATACTTTGTGAAATGTTAAATAATTTATATAAAATAATATTTGATTTGAAAATAAATGGGATTTCCTTGAGATAATATGATTACTGCACTAAAAACATAAATTGATTCAAGTGAAACAAATTACCAATTACGGCGATGCACATGAGTAGATTCGATTTGCTAACTCTCTTTAATAGTTGTTATGATTTGTCAGTTATTTCTTCACTGAACTTGAAACTAATACCAGAATATGATCTCCAATTATCCTGAGAAACAGAAGATATCTTATATAAAACTAATAATTGAGTGACGTATTTCATTTCATTTATTTTATGAAATTAATTATAAAATTACTTTTAATCCGACAGAAATTTCTTTCTGATTACTTTTATTATTTATTCCCATCGGAAATCTTCCTACATCTGATAATATGTATACAAAAATAGTGCAGCTTTGATCAGTTTCGAAACAAACTAAATATAAATTCAATAATTTTTAATAATTCTATTAGATTCGGAATTATATTGTTTATATAAAAAACATGTAAAATCATGTTTTGTTATATATTTTATTTATTGAATTTGCCTTGAATTTATTTTAAATTAAATTTTATTGTTAAATAAACATAACATTTAAAAACATTTTAAATAATAAACAAATTTTACTCTTTACATTCATATATTTTTATTAATTTTATTTCCCGTATATAAATATTTTTAAACATTATTCTAAATAAACAAAAAATACATATTGTCAATTGATCAAAAAATCTTTCCACACTGTTATAAATACAGAAATACCTCGCATAGTGCGGGTAATCGGTTCCGTCAATAGTTTTATTTGAAACCGGACTAATCGAGTAACTAAATACATACAAGGAAACATGACGGTCAAACAGTATTTATAAAAAAATAATTTTATACAATATTTTTGTTAGAATTTATTTTACTCAATTTTTCAAATGTTTATACCGAGAAAATCCGAACTTATTGAAGAATAATTGCAAAAATTAAAAAAAAATGCCTATAAGAAGCGCTACTATTTTGTTTGACGAATATGATGATAATTAATTAATAAACTTTCTTATATAAAGAGTAAATATAAAAATGTACAAAACAAAATTTTATTAATTAGTTCACAAATTTAAAATCAATAAAATTTATAATTAATGCAACAACTGACATTATTATTATACGCTTGAAATTACATTTGCGTTTTGTAAATTATATTTTTTTTTAATGAGAATTTATAATACGTTAATAATTAGAACTTGATGTAATTAAGGACTCCCAGTATTGGAGTATTTCTCACAAATTCTGTGCTTTTATATAGTTTCTGTTATATTATATAAACTGTGGGTTATCCAATTTATAATAACTCTCGTCTCCATCAAATTTAACTGTAACGTCGGGCTGATGTGAAAGGTCCCCATTTGCGCAA